CTTTCTTCTCCTTTAGCATACGCTGAACACGCTGATACGTGAAGCGTTTTTGATTCTTCTGACATTGTTGCAGAAGTTTATCATTTGCGGCTTCTGATATGGTCAGCAAGTGTCCTACCAGAACAGGAACTCGAATGTCCAACTGCTTGAGCGTCTGCAAGACATCGATTTCTCCTGTTTGGAACTGTGGTCCGGGTTCTGATCCCCGCTCGACCCATTCGAGCTCATCTTTGCCAAGTCGGATTGCTCCGATCAGTCCTGCCAAATGAAGATACTCGGCAGGATCAACGACACCGGCGTCTTCGGAAGATGATCCCGAAGTAGATGTGATGGGGTCGGTCGAGGGTGGTTGTTCGGTAGAGAAGGAGGAGGCTTCCCTTGCGGCTTCCAACACTGCGGGCACCCGACCTTGATTCAAGGTCACAGGCGCGGTTGCTGGCGGAGGTTGATTGCGTTTTGGTTTGGGGCATTCACGTGCAAAGTGTCCAGGATGTTTACAGTTGTCAGTTGTAACATTCATCCTCCCCGCTGGACTGATCGCATGAGGAGGAGCGGGAGGAGTTGGTCCAGATACAGAAGGGGCGGTCAGCAGAGGATATGAGGCAGGAACGGGGCGGGAAGGGCTGGAATTAGCTTTTATTAGCTTCGTCATGATTTGTTCCAACCAATCCATCTGGGAAGCCTGCATCTGAATCAGATTATTCATCCACTCAGACTGTTTAGTCGTAGCGGTATGAATCATCTGGGCCAGATGCATGTTAGTAATAGGTACTGATGCAGCATCTTGGGGCATTACGGTATTCATGGGTGCCATCTTTGAAGGAAGAGGAGGTTTCGAGAGAGGCAGGGAATGATAGGGAGAGGGATCCGGGGCGGGTCCGTCCTGATAGTCGTGATCAGGACGAGGGTAAAATCGTCCCACCGCTTTGAGCCACGACCGCCGCTTAGCTGCCACATCTTGGATTGTGTCCGAAATGTCTTCCTTCCCCTGACTGATATACAAGCGCGTATCAAGTAAATCCTGTTCAAGTGCTTTAGCTATGATGACGGGTAGCTGGTTTGTCTTGGGAGGAACCTTTTTCTGCAGCTTCGCTTTCAACACTGGATTGCGGAGATGATCGATAAACAAATCTCGATCAGCGTTTTCTTCCCGTCCTGATTTATCTAATACGGTTTGGAATCGATCCACAAAGTCGGGTAGCATCTCTCCGGGTTCCTGCGGACGGGTTTTTAGTACGAACCACGCAGCATCTTCGCTGACTGCATCGAACCTTGCTAGGAACGCCCTCTTGAATGTATCCCAATCTACCCATCTATGCCTTCTAAACCAATCATGAGCAGTGTTTCGTAGTAACAGGGTAATGACGCGGGGAAGATCCTCGGCACCATACCCCTGAGCTTGCACGGCTTCGAGCCATGCCTCGGGATGAGTGGAGTTGGGGTAGAACGGGAAGGTAGCGGGGATGCTTACCATCACCCGGGGAGGTGTTCCATTGGCATCGGCCATGGGCATTTCTGGTCGAGCTTCGGCAGACCTCTGTCGAGTGACGGGAGGACTAAGATGGTTAAGTTGTTTAGTTGATCTTTCCCTCGCCAGCTCGTCTTACTATTATCAGAACCGATACGTGTCGGCTTCGATACCAACCTCACGCCCTGCGCTGACTTCTGTTCGGAGTGTCAGTCTACACACAGGCAGTCAGTCGTGGCGCGGTCTGCTGCACAGCGCAGCGTGGGCCTTGGTGGGCTGGGTCAGATGCGGCTTGCGGTCGTAGTAGCAAATATTCAAATGGAACCCTTTTAAAATATGACGCTCAAAAGAGGTCCACCCAGACGACCGTGGACCAGCTTGGACCGTCTAGCCTTCTTTGTGGCGGCCTCTTGTTAGTGCCTGCTGACCTGCGCTCAGGCATAACTCATCATTTTTCGGGTCCCGACAACATGCTCACACTCACATCTCATACTGCAATAGTGAGCGGCGGCTGGTGCGCCTACCAAAAACCCCGCCACTCAACTTTTCTTCCACCTGGTGGGCTAATCACTCACTGGCTTGCATGCTCGCTGACCACCAATGGTCAGCGTCCCCGAGTTGGGTAGGATAAATAAATTTCATCAGCATGTTGAACATGCGGGACCCATAGGCTGACCAAAGAAGGCGCGCGCTCAAGGTCCTTGGCCGCCGTAATGACCCTTAAATCTGGCATGGCGCATGTCTCAAAAAGCCGAAACATAAAAATAAAAATAACGACGACAAATAAACAATATCTAGGAAAATTTTAGTTGTCAAAAAAAGGACCGACGAGAAACAAGAATCACGAATACTGTTCCAACGACAAAACCAAGGGGGATAATACCGTCGGGCCCTCAGCCCTTTGGTTTCTCCTCGCCGCTCCAATGCTCCTTCGACGTCGTCCTCTGATCTTGATCCCTCAATCTCTCGGGTGGAAGCCCGATACCATAATCAATAAAACTAGGCCTAAGGTTGGATCTAGCATTGACGAACACCTAAATAAGTGGATATTGTGCGACACATAGACCTACCGAAACGTTTTCAAAATCACATTGTTGTCGACGTCGTTCGCCGCACGTACGCATAAGTCGTAGGCAAGTGAACCAATCAAGAGATAAAATCCTTTAATCCTAGTTTAATCAAAAATAAAAATCTGGCCGGCGACCAACGCCGATTTATACAATCATCAAAGAGAAAAAAAATCATGCGTGCCTTAAGTCTGCACGCCCACACACTTCCTACTCTAATCATCCATTCAATCATCGTAAACTAGGACACAGTCGCGCGTCGCGCGGTATACTGATACTTTAAACCAAACTTATTTTTTGTCACTTGCAAAAACCAGGGTGGATACCCTTGTAAGGGTATTCGCGCCGACAGCGCCCCTCCGACAACCGATTTACCCTGTCGTGCCCCTGGGCCTAAAAATCTTTTTGGCAGGCCCCCGTCGGTAGTGGGCGCAACTTTCCATGACGCCCTCCCTCAACTGGCAGTCCCATTCCATCGGGCTCTGCGCCATATGCTCTCGTAAGGGGCACCCATCTTCCTGTGGTGCCCTTGCAGCAGTGAAGTGTTGAAAATTTGAATTCAATTTCGAAACCTGTTGTTGTTGACGCGCCGCCGCTATTTTTCTTGACGCGTAGTGAAGGCCAACCTCCTGTCCTCTTCGTTTTCGCTCCCCGTAGCAAGGTGAGTGTCGGCCGCCGTCTTCGTTTTCGCTCGTCGTTGTTCCTCTGCTATGTGTTCATGTCATTCTCTTCCCTGTGAGTTTGTGTGTATGTGTGTGACACACACACACACACACACACACACACACACACACACACACACACACACACA